TAAGGCAATTGTATATTTGTAAATTACTAATTGAAAACACTGTGGTTTGGCATTTGTTTAAAAGATTTCAACTAATAATGAATCAAGATTAGAACATACTGGAAATGTACTGCTAAGTGTTTATTAAGTAAATTTATTATTATTTAAGTAAATTTACTAATTAAATTTATTTTAAATAATATCATCACTATAGTAATTTATAAATAGAAATATGAAATATAATTTATAATTAGCATGTTGTATTCCAAGCATGAATCTACATGAAATAGTAGACCTGTACTAAACTTCAGGAACTGTTACGGTCAAGTGGCTGTGTGTATCATTTTCTAGCACTCATGTTTCAGCCCTTGCTGAAGTTGTAGCTTAAAAATTTTTACTTGAGCTGTATCTGTCTAGGAGATTAAATATCTCCTTGTAGGCTAAAGCTCCTTTGCTTATGGTTTTCCTCCTTTCCTTACTGTCTCCTCAATATCTTTCCTGAAAGTTTTGGTGTCTCTTCTCTTTCCATTGGTTGTCCAACTGATTCTCTGTCCTTTACAAGAACTACTCACATCATAGCTGTCTTCAGCTCCTTGCCTCTGTCTCCTGTTCTTGTTAGCACCAGCACGGTCTTTGTCCCTTGAGTGCCCTTGTGTCCTCAGGGTGAGTTATGAAATGTGTGGTCTGCCTGGATTTTTGAAGTCTCTCCCAGCTCAGGAAATGCGGGAGAGGATTAGCACAGAAGGTGGCATGGGTCGATGGCAGATTGGTGTGGAGTGAGAACGGACACGTCAGGATGGCAGTGTGAAGTTAAGTCTGTAGCTCCAATGCTGTTGTACTGAGCAGCAGAGGGATGGGAGCAGGAGTTGGAAGGAGTGAGTGTGATGGGCACGAGAACAGTCTGGGGATAGGTGAAGTTAGGAGATTCTGGGTTGGAAGAGGCAGAGAGATCTAAAGCAAGAAGAGTATGGAGCTGTGAGTCAGAGCTCAATGTGAAAGAGCGAAGTAGGTGCTTTGAACTCAGCAGCAGTTTGTCACACCCTAGGATTACCGACCTCACAAGTTACGGGCCCAGGGGCTCTCTTAGAATGATGCCTTAATGGAAAGACTGATTTTGACCTTTGAAAGGAAAACCCTGACTGTAGTGAATCTTCATCTCCTATTACTTTGTCATCTTAAAAGCAAGGTGACACCTCAAGTAAGAACCCGATTTCAGTGCAAAGACTACCAAGTCCTTCAATTTAGGAATGCCACATTTCCTTCCCCAGCTTAAGTCTGCAGCTTCCCTTTGCAAAATACAGAATCATAGAACGGTTTGGGTTGGAAGGGACCTTAAAGACCATGATCACTATCTCTCAGTCTTGAAGGTATTCCTTACACTTCAGTTCAATTCTCTTTCCTACACTGCTGGTTGCTGGTTTCCACTCATGCAGGTCCTCTCATGTTCTCACTTCCCTTTGCTCTACTCAACAGCTCTTCACTGATGTCTGTGTTTCATGCGGAGCAGAACTTACTGTGAATTGTTGTTGTTAACATTGCTAGGAGTTGACCAGCTGTCTTTTCCACTATGGGTGCTATAAAATATCTCTGTTATGAAGGGAGTTATGGATGGATATTAAATCATATTGATTGTGTTTGGAAAGGGGCAGTGCAACAATGGAAACACTGCAGAATATGGAACTTTCACAAAGGCAAAATAAGGCTCGTGTAAAATTTTCAAGATTATGCATATCAGTAAAAATGATTTACAAATGAGTGACTACTTTTCACAGATGAGACATGCATCTTTTGACCTTTAAATTCGTTGTATTGCACTTTGTATGAGAAACAAAGTAAACCTTCTTCTTATGTTAAAATATGAAGCATATGCATCTCAATATAGAGCATTTTGTGCTTCATTTTGAACTTCAGAGGTATTATTTCAGCTTATTCTGCATCACCTTATAAGCTGATAATAAATTTACTATGAAAGGATAGTATTTGTTTTGGTAATGTCATGCTCTCTAATTATAGCACAGAATGAAGCTGTGTACCAAAGCACATACACCTTTTTTTTTTTTTTACAATAATAGGTATATGCACCTGGCTCTAAATTTAATTCAATATCTGAATTTGTATTTTGAATTCCTGGGCTTTGATTTCTTCTCTAAAATCATAGATTTTAGATGTATGTCTAAATGTAAGTCTATCAATTCTTTAATGCTTATTTTAAACAAGAATCAGCAGGAGTGGCTTACCATGACTATCAGGAAGCCAAAGCAGGTCAGGAAAATCTTTTAATATCACTGTGGTTCATCTGCTTAAAATGTATCAGTAATTTGGGCATAATTTGCAATCTGGGCTTTCTCCTTCCAGTGTTCTTTAATGCACCATTTATCAGTTTTCTATAAATATTGGAAGCTTCCACGTTAATCAATTTTGGTTTTTTATAATGCTCAAGTAAATGGCAGAGGAATGTTTGGGTTGATATACCTAACATTATAAAGCCTAAATACAAATATTTTATTGCTGGCTAGCTAAATGACTTCTCGTACCGGATTGTTTGCCCTGACCTTGACTAAAACATGGTTCATAGCTATTATATTTTTTTTTTTTAATCTGTTATGTGTGCAAAAGCAATTCAGAAGAAAATTATTTCTGAACTACCATGGGGTGCTAGAGTTCACTGAAAATTAAGGAAAAGGGGACTTTGGGTCCTAAGTCCTGTACATAACTTATGTTTTTCCAATTTGTTTCAGTAAGCAAACTCTAAAATGTTTTACATTTCTGTCTTCAGATTTTTTTTTTTCTGACAATGGCCTTTTTGCTGGAGATATCGTGATCCTTTTTCTTTTTCTCCTCTGAAGAACAAAGAACCTCCATTTTGCTAGATTTCCTTGCCATTGGCTGAGGAGTGGCTCATGTTAGCTCAGAGTAATGTTTCTTTCTTGAGCGTATTCCGTAACTGCTCTCAAACATGGAAGCACTTTTACATACTATAAAATCTGCCCTTGTGCTGCACTGAACTGTCGGTTATTGAAGTTCTTACTCTCTTGTCAGCCTAAATTAAGATTGCCCAGTATCAGTAGACCTTCCATGAGAGAAGGTATATATCTTGTCCCATAAAAAAATTTTGGAGCTCTGTTGAAGGGAAAAGTTTTTGCTTTGTTTTGTCTAAATGCCAAAGATACTTGAGCAAAGTGCTTCTGTCTAATTTCAGCCCAGCTTAGCTTCACCAAAGTAGTGACTTCTTTTCCACCCTTTCCCCTGAGAGGTGAAGTCATGGAGCTGTGAATTTGTAACCACTCCTGTGACAGCTTGTGATTGAAAATAGGCTTCTAGAAATTAGCTTTTCTAACTTTTGGAGTACTACTCTTCTTCAGTTCTCACTTTTCGCTCTATAACTACATATTTATCAAGAACAATTAGATCTCTTTAGGAGTTTTAGTCTTATATTTGCCCATTAAGGTCTTTACAGTGGGCTCTGGTCTGTCTGATGGGATAAGAAAGTTATTAATTTAAAGCTGTCCTTGCTGAAGCAATTAGGACCTTTACCATGGATTTCAGTGAGGTCAGAATGTTGTTCTTTCAGCACTTACATACAACTCTTGAGGGAAGTGTGGTGTAACATTTTAAAAGATGTCATCTGTTTAGAAATAAGCTGTGCTAATCAGACATACCAGCAGATTTCTCTGGGCCTCCCTCAGTGCTTTTTGAAGTCCAGTTATGTGATGGTGGTACCAGAGGACGATATGTGGTCTTCAGATGGGGGTGGCTTTAAAGGGCGTTTTATACCTTTCACGTGGGAGGACAGCAGCCAATACTTGACTTTCTGACTTTCCCAAGATAGAAACACTGGAAAAAAACCGCATGAGATTGTGCTAGAAGAGCTGTGGTAATGATCAGTCCGAGAGCTCCTGGCTACAATTAGAGTGTAGTAGGGCCACTGGGATATAAGGAGACTTGATGCTGAGCAGAAATAGAAGGGATTTGAGGTCTGGTAGGAAGCAGACCCTTGATGATACACTGCATTTTTTAGGGAAAGAAGAGGTAGGGACTTCCAAGTGTCTGCTCCTAACCTACAGACCTCTTGTTGCAGCAGCAATGAAGCACCTTTTACTTCTTCACTCAGGTTCTGAAGATTAGGTTTCCAACATTGTCATTGTTTCCCTGCAAGTATGGTAGGCCTGCCAAAGGTATGTGATTGCTCTTTGAGGTTCTTCTGCATGACTGAATTTCTCAACTCTTTATCCCCTCAGCACCAATCTTAGCTTTCCCTGTGCCTCCAAAGCTCCCACTTCTAGTCAGTCACTCTTGCCTATCTGGAAACCTCTAGTGGAAACCATTTTCTGTTTATTTTTACAGCAAAAAAAAAAAGACATTTCTGAAGAACTCTGTGGGTTATGCATTATCTATTTCTTACCTCTGAGGAGCTCCTTGGGTCTAAAATCTTAGCTATGCTCAAGTATTTCAGTCTTGTTTCCTTTGTTGTTATTTTTTTTTTATGTTATAAATTAGGTAATCTTTTAAGTGGAATAAAAAGAGTACACTAACAGCATGGTTTAGCTCCTGAAATTATACAGAAAATGAAACCACTAAACTGGTGAGAAAAACAATTGGATCTATGGCTAGTAAATTGAAATAATATAATTGCTTTTGACAAGAACCTTCTCCAGATGAAAAAAGAATCTCTTATATCAGTAAGCTAACTAATTGATTTAAAAGGACTTTAAAAGGATTTAGATAGGGATTTTTAAAAGTAGGAAAGAATTTGCTTTCCTTCTCCAGAGTAAGACATAAGATGCTGAGGTTTTATCTACAGTTATGATTAAAAAAAAAAAAAAAGGATTAAAAGGATGTAGGGGAAAATGTGGTAAATAATGAGTTAACTGCAATTTCTCTTATCTGATAGATTTCAGGATGACAGTATTGCTCATTATAGCACTTCTGGTTCTGCTATTTTATTGCTATATAAGTCCTTTCATTTTTAGTCTCACCCTAACTTAGCTGTCTCATTGTTCCTTGTGATCCTTTCGATTCAGGATGCAGAATAGAAAACTGCGACTCCTGCTTTAGCAGAGACTTTTGTACCAAATGCAAAACTGGCTTCTACTCGCACAGAGGCCGCTGCTTCCGAGGATGTCCCCCTGGATTTGCAGCCTTGGAAGAGCTTATGGAGTGTGTGGGTGAGTCTTCTAGCACAGCAATGCTGCTGAAGCAGCTCTTTTGCCAGGTGGCAAGGTTCAAATGTGGCACTATTTTTAAGCTGATGCTTAGCATTTCCTATGAAGAAATATTCACTAATGAATTGTGTTTGAATTTCTTTACCCCTTATTATCATTATTGTTATTATTTACTTTTTTCCAAACTTTGAAATATTGCATTATTGGGAATGCTACTCTGTTCTGCATGAGAAAGTTCTGACCTCTGAACTGTTAATCACCTTGTATGATGATTTATAACTCAGAATTTGTAAGATTTCAGGAAGGCCAGTTTTTGCATTAGAACTTTAAGTCAGTGAAGTACCTGTTGGATTCTTGCCCTCGTAAAACTACCTGCTCATTTTTCCTTTTACCAAGACCAGAACCCAGGGGCAGAGCAGATTGAATTCCTATAACATCTGGGCTTCAAATTCACTTTTAGTTTCTCTGCCGCTCTTCTCTTTTCCATTAGCGAGTAAAAAGTATAAACCACCAAATAAGTGTTTTTAGTAGAAATTTACTGTATAACTGTGCCAGCATTGGCAGTTCTTATAATATTTTTCAAGTCTCACAATTTAGTGATTTGTCTTGAAGCTGGGGAATTTTGTCAGAACAGACTGTTTCTTTCAAGAGTATTCCTTGCATTTCATGATGGAGAAGACCTGGAAATGTCAGCTCTTGAGCTTTGCAAATCCAGGTGACAGCCAAATAGGATTTACTTATTAAAAGAGAAAAATTCAAATAAATCTCATGATTTTAGGAGAGTTTTTTAATATTTGGGACTAACATGATATCTACACATACAGATTGATAGTCTAGTGGTTTGATGCTCAGGTTGATGTTGGCTAAACAGATTATTTCAGGTTCTGTAAGAGATTTTAATTTTTGTTTCTAAGTTTTTGCCTGTTAACAGTAAAACTTTCAAGTGGTGCTTTCTAATAATATATTCTTATTAAAAAGAAATAAAAAAAAAGAGAAAAAAACAAACAGAAGAATTGCTAACTTGGGGTTTTCTTTGCTTTATCAGAAGGCTGTGAAGTGGGTCAGTGGAGTGAGTGGGGAACTTGCAGCAGAAATAACAAAACATGTGGATTTAAGTGGGGCCTGGAAACAAGAACAAGACAAATTGTGAAGAAGCCAGCGAAAGACACGATACCGTGCCCAACCATTGCAGAATCCAGACGGTGTAAAATGGCCATGAGGCATTGTCCAGGAGGTAAGCGTAGTCCATGCCGCAAAAATCTTTATGAGCTTTCCTTAACTGAAATCTTATTTCTAACTTGAAAAAAAGAGCTGTTTCTTCCCAGCTGAAGGGGAAATCCTGTCTCTACTCTGCCAGCCAAGACTGAAAGGCAGTAGTACTACAGCAGTCCTAATTTGTGCAGCATGGGAAAGACTCAGCGTGGGAGTGATCAGTCTCTCAGTAGACTGTGAAACTGTATTTTTCCTGGTGTGGTACTGAGGCTTTTTCAAAGAGATGCCTCGTGGAAGAACCATAACAGGTTGCAGTTTGTGCTTCAGCATGAAAATGATAGTGATGGTGGAATAACTAATTGCTTTGTGCATGGCAGGAAAGATGATGGTTCTAAACCGCTCTGCAGGCAGCACGCCAAGTGCTGGTATGATAGGTATTTAAATTAAATGAACTTAGTTACATGTGGTATTGTTAGCTAGAACTATTAGCTGGAATCTGTTACTTGCTCTGAATGTTGTAGACCAGGGCCAAACTGTGCTAAATGTGGTACAAGCAGAATAGTGATAGATATTGAGCTTTTCCAGCATGAGACCAGCTTATGGCAATTACCACAAGTAGATAAAAGACATAGACAAATTTCTTTATTGTGGCATTCTAAGACTTAAGTAGCCATGCTGATTTGAAAAAGGAAATGAAGTTTCAAATTTATGTTCAGTTTCACAGCCCCCGGAGTGGAGACGTCATACGTAGAGAGGAGTTTTTGCTATCAGTTAAATAGAAATGATTAACTTTTCTCTTGTGCAGACTGAACGTTTACAGAGTTTTCAGAATTTGTAGGAGTGGTGAGCAATCAACAGGTGATAAAGATGCCATTCCTTTTGGAATCATAGGATTAAAGAAAGATTCAGGCTTGAAGGGGCTTCAAGAGGTCCAACCTCCTGCTGCATGCCAGGTCAACCATTGAGACCAGACATCATAGAATCATAGAATGGTTAGGGTTGGGAGGAACCTCAAAGATCATCTGGTTCTAACTCCCCTGCCATGGACAGGGCCACCCTCCACTACACCAGGTTGCCCAAAGCCTCATCCAACCTGGCCTTGAACACTTCCAGGGATGGGGCATCTACAACTTCTCTGGGCAACCCGTTCCAGTACCTCACCATCCTCTGAGTGAAAAATTTCTTCCTTATATCCAATGTAAATCTGCCCTCTTTCAGTTTAAATCCATTGCTCCTTGTCCTATCACTACATCCCCTTGTAAAAAGTCCCTCTCCAGATTCCCTTTAAGTACTGGAAAGCTGCTATAAGATCACCCCGGAGCCTTCTCTTCTCCAGGCTGAACAGCCCCAACTCTCTCAGCTTGTCTTCATAGGAGAGGTGCTCCAGCCCTCGGATCATCTTTGTGACCCTCCTCTGGACCCGAATGGTTGCAGAGTCCTGAGAAAAGCTGTAACTTGATGAATAAGCTAAAACTGAAATAATTTGAGTATAGGTACATAAATAAGTATGTTTTGTGTTCTGGGATTGTTGAATGTGTCTCTCTCGGTTTTAACATACTGCCCACCAGCATGTGTGAAAATTATACATAAAGTTTTAGCTTACAGATTAAATCTGTGCAAGCTTTATTTTTGTCTTTAGGACTCTGACACAACCTGGAAGAGAAAATAAAGTTGATTTTCTGTTATCCAGGTAACTGGGTCTGTTTATTCAGTCTTCCTCCTGGTCCTGCTTCCTATGCTCATACGCATGTGCATGCACACCTAGTGCATAGTCATAGTGGTGCTGGGGTGTGTTGTACAGCACAGGTAATCTGCAGCCTAAACAAACTTCTCAAAGACATTGAAGAGTAGAAGCTCCAAAATGTCCAGCTTCTATATAAACTCCTGGCTAGTAGAAATTTTCAGGTGTGGGTTTATTCTTGATAGTTTAGTCAAGTTACAAATTATTCAGATTGTTGTAAATAGTTTGAGAAGTGTGCATAAGTGGACCACAATATTTATGAATGCTGTAGCATGCTCATGTAACTGTGGTCATCTGGAGCTATTGAATATGCATATCTTTTTTGTGGCGGATTCTCTTAGGTTGTTTCAGATTTCCTTGTCCAGCAATTCAGGTCTTTGATTAAACGTTTACCTTGCAAATTTTATCATTTGCAAAGGCACAGTAGTGGGCTTTCCTAAGAGGAAATTTATTGCCTGCGCTATATCAAGATCTTTGACCAAATCTCTGTATTTTTTTTCAGTACATATCAGGAAAATTGTTGCTGCAAATACGAATTCATTGTGAAAGACTTGTAGTACTATTCTATAACCATGGGTTCCAGTAAATCCTAAGGATTAGAGCCCTTTCCTGTCCTCCCACGGCATGGAATTCCCTGCCTATATTTTCAAAGACAAAAATAAATATGTACAAAACTGCAGGTTTGAACTCTCTACATTGAATCCTGATGCTTAATACTACTTCTGTGCAATCATATAAAACACTATTCAGAGTACAAACTCTTTTCTCTCTCCCAAGAAACACCTGAGAGAGGGTGTGTTAGTGATATTTTAACTGCCTGGGGTGAATTTTCCCCAGGCTGGTTTACCTCAGTAGGTGAGGAAGCCACAGAGATTGTCCTATTAGAAACTCCTACTTCATAGTATGTTTTAATGATTATATACATGGCTGGTCTAAGATCCCATCCCTTTTTCATATTTAATTTAGTTAGCAGGTTGCCCCATTAGACACTCAAAATGTTTCATCGCTTATTTAATCACTGTGAAGTAGCAGTAGACAGAGACATTGGTTACAAAGAAGTTGAAATCGAGCAGATCCTGGCTGCTAAGGAAGAGATTCTGCATTTTTAAAAACGTGGTGTTTTCCTAATGTTAGAAATTTTGTAATTGAATTTTTAAACAACACAAGAAGGACATGGAGCTGCTGGAATGAGTCCAGAGGAGGGTCACGAAGATGATCCGAGGGCTGGAGCACCTCTCCTATAAAGACAGGCTGAGAGAGTTGGGGCTGTTCAGCCTGGAGAAGAGAAGGCTCCGGGCTGATCTTATAGCAGCTTTCCAGTACTTAAAGGGAATCTGGAGAGGGACTTTTTACAAGGGGATGTAGTGATAGGACAAGGGGCAATGGCTTTAAACTGAAAGAGGTCAGATTTACATTGGATATAAGGAAGAAGTTTTTCACTCAGAGGATGGTGAGGTACTGGAACAGATTGCCCAGAGAAGTTGTAGATGCCCCATCCCTAGAAGTGTTCAAGGCCAGGTTGGATGAGGCTTTGGGCAACCTGGTGTAGTGGAGGGTGTCCCTGTCCATGGCAGGGGGGTTGGAACTAAATGATCTTTGAGGTCCCTTCCAACCCAAACTGTTCAATGATTCTATGAAGTAGGAGAAGATGTAAGGTTCGCACTACCGGGGGACTGAAGGACCATAATCCCTGTAAATGTTGGTTGAGAAGCTGTTAATAAATCCTTTCTTCCTAATGTTCTCATTGCATAAACTCACACAAATGTGTAAGATAAGTATTGGATTATACTGCTAAAATGGTTATAGATTGTGATGGATTAAATTGAGCACAGGAAGCAAGGATATTTTTGGTAGAACAAGGTCAAATAAAGTGCTTTTGACACATGCTTTCTACTTCTGTGCATTTTACAGTTACTATTTATGGTCCATATTACAGAAAAACTTCCGAAACAGATTTTTACATATTTGCAGAAGTGGAGTTAAATTCAATTTTCCTACTAAGTACTTCAGTTCCATATTTATGGGGAATTGTGATGTTACCCATCTGGCCATATGGCTGTGGTACAAATCTAGTTGAAGAAGAATAATTCTTTATCATTTTTTCAGCATTTCCAGAGTTGTAGAGATTCAAGCTGGAATGCAAGTGAAAGATGATTTCACTTCTTTCCTACTGAAGCCAGCAACATAAGAGGATACTCTACTTGACTTCAAATGTTACTCAGTGATATTTTCTTACTGACAGTGCTAATTGATATAACTGTTATTACCAGATGGGAATGTCACATTTGTTTATCTGTTCATGTTATGTTACCCTTGTGGCTCGAGTTTAATATGATTTGTACTATGAGAGGTTAGACTTAGAAAAAGATGGCTTGGATGTTCAGGCCACTTCCCACCTGTGCTGTTACCTTCCTGATAGGGAAGCTCAAAAAGAAAGAAAAAAAAAAAATTAAAAAAGAGCTGTTGTGTTACAAATGATGGGGAAATTAGCGGGCAGAAATGTTCTGTGGGCTCATACAGCTTGCTGTCTGGAATTTTTCCCATATATTTATCATAAATATTCTCTTTTACCTCTTATTTTCACGTGTTTCCCGTGTTCATGTCAGCAAATTACTCTTCTCTTGTTTGTACCCTGGAGGTGCTTAGAGATTGCTCTAATGTTTTGTATTATTACAAAGGGAAGCAAAGCACAGCTCTACTTCTTTCAGTCTTATATCAGACTGCGGTTCTTCAAGCTGTCTGATCCACGATATTACTCTATGCCAAACTCTATTATTACTAGAAAAATCACAAAGTCATTGGTGAATGCTTATTTCAGACACAAAGAAAGAGAGATGAAAATAGGATATATGTTTGAATTAATATTCTGAACTCAAAGGTGGGAAGACAGCAGGACAGGTCATGAGACTATAGTGGGATACAGTTCTTTCCTTGACATGGACATGTAGTTGGATGGACTTCATGCTGCTCCACTGGACTTTGGAGGCTTTTTATGCAGTAGTCTTTTTTTCTGTTGCTGCAATAGAATTTAAGACTTCTGAAGGAACAACAGTAAAAAGACCCAATCGGACTTTCTGTCCTTATACTTCAGTTACATTCCATTTTTAATATTCAGAAATTATGACTGAAAATATTAAAAGATTAAAGAATATATACTTAGATACAGAAAACAAATAAATATGCAAAGCTGTAAAATGCATGTTTTCTTAACCTGATAAGATACTAGTGATATGGCAAACAGGGAGTTAACGATCCCAGTTTGCCAAAATATTATAGGTAGG